CTGTACTGCCTAGCTTCTTTGTCCTCGGTTGGCTGTCGCGGGGCCTTGCATGTCCTTCCTGGTAAAAGACGCCACATCTTCTGATGAGAGGAGTTGGTCTGGTTTCCTTCAGAAAGAGGGTTGAGCTTTAACTCTTGGAATTGTGCCTGTCCCCCAACAAATTTTATGGATTTGGATGGGAGTCCTTCCTTTCCAACATTCCAAGAGGGAAAAAGGAAGAAAGATACAGACCGTAAGGAAGCTAGTGAGGCCCCTGGCCACAGGGTCTGCGAAGGGCAGAGCCAGAGCTGGGCTCCTGGGTGTCCCCTTGCTCTGCATTTACCCAGAGACGAGAATGGGGTTCTTCAAGTTTAATTAAAAACAGGATGTCCCTGCTGGGCCTCTCATGGATGTTGCTAAAAATAAAGTAGGGAAGTAGCCTGGCCTCTTCATGGTTTAATCCCATTAATTTGGGGGTGGGGGAGGTGGGGGTGGAATCGGAGCTAATAAAAGACATGATTTGTTTCAGATTGCTCTCTGGAGTTGTCTTTCCCTCTCTGCCCTGTGAAGCCCTGGATTTTGCCAGGCTGTCATGCTCTTACTCACTCTCGGGACCGCTGGGACTCGTCACCCTGGTTCTTTGCTCGCTGCTCTGGTACCACCCACGACATAGACCTGGTTTTGTGCACTTCCTGTCTGCGAGTTGATGCACATTTAAAAAACAAAAAACATGAAGCATCTCGTCTGACTGCTCTGAGAACCATCTGTGAATGTGGGTCTCTTAACGGAGCACTCACTCCCTCCTCAGCCCCACAGGGCACTCAGACATTAGCCTCTTGCTCCATCCCAGAAGCCCCGTTTGCAAATACGTTCATGTAAGGGCATCCTGACCTCTGTTGTCTGCTTTTGTTTTGTTTTGTATTGTATTAAGCTCCTTATTTCTCTGTCCCAACCCCGCTCTTTTTGCCTAATAGCTAACTCTTCTGTTGAGACTTTTGTTGAGTGTGAGAGCTCATTTTCTGATACAAACCCATTTGTCTCCTGGGTCATTTCTCCATTTGTTCAATCCAGAGTTTCAGGGAATAATCTGCAGGTTATTACACAGCTGACTTCCCATCACAATTCCATAATGATAATTTTATGAGCCCCGGCTATTAGAGGCTTAGAGCAACAAGGAGTGCTTCAGATCGGTGGGTTTTACTCACCACCAGAGGGCCCAGACATCCTGTAGGTGACGGCTTCCCTAACAATCATTAAAGCATTACGAGAACCACCATACCCATCTGAGTGCTTTTGGCCTCCAATATGGTGTCTCCCAAACCCTGTGCCAGAGGGTTGGTGAGATATAAAATAAGAAAGAGCCTCTCAGTCTTGCAAATAATTGAATCCCCATCACCTAGTGCATAGTAGACACTCAGTAAGTATTAAATTATGAATAATCACTTTTTAATTCTCTCAATACCACTGCCTGCAAATAAGGGCATAGCAGTATATCGGAGAAGTAGATGTAGATAATACATTCAAACTTGTTAGCAGTTCCATCTGTGTGTTGCTCGTTGGAGAAATGCAAATACCGTAACAGAGCCCGCAAGGCCCGATGGCCTGTCTCTGCCCGCGCTGGAGCCCCACCGCGTGCCCCACTCCCCTGCACGCTCTCAGCGTTTCCCCCGCCTCTGTGTCTACACGTGTGTTTCGCTCTGCCCTTTCCCTCTCTAAGCTCCACGCTTTCTTCACCTCTTTGCTCAGTCTTCGCTCCTCAGGGCAGCCTACGCAAACTCTCCTGATGAGGCCCAGTATCCCCAGCACATCAATCACCCCCTAAAACCACACATCTTCCTTTCTCGCACTGCTTCCAACAAAGGTTTTACCTTTGCATTTCTTTGATTGTTTGAGTAATGTTGGTCTGCCTTATTTATCAGTAAACCCATGACGGCAAGGATAGGGTAGATGTTAAGGCCTGGTATGCAATAGTTGATCAATAAATATTTGGTGCATGACGGAGGAATGGATGAGGGACTGAACACGGGCTGGGGAGGTCAATGAAGAGCAGGCATTCCCCCGACCTGGGGTCTGCGAGTGGGATCCTCGGTCCGAAGGCCCCAGAGTTGTCTGTGGCAGCGAGTGTGTATCCAGGAGCGGATCTGAGGGGTTTCTAAGATGAGAGTCCATCATTGACAGACTGAGAGGTTTCACATAAATATATTGAATTATATGAAGAAAGGGAGAAGGAAGAGAAAAGAGGGTGGGGAAATGAAAAAAATTATGAAAGGATAAAGGAGGAACTTTAGAATGAGAAGCATAAGGAAAGAACGTTGAGAGAGGATGAGAAGCATGAAGAAGCTGGTGGGATGGGAAACAGTTATTCCTGAATGAATCCGCTAAACTTGGTGAGCCTAAGCCTGCGCCAGACCCGTGTGAGGGACTCACGGGGATTCGAAGAATAGCCAGATCTGACTGCCACCCTCACATCTAGAAGGACAGTGTCCTGGGTAACTACAAGTCAGAGTGAGGGGAATGAAGTGATTCCAGAGAGGTTAGGTGGAGCCATTTGAGAGGAAGGAAAATTATACATAGCAGAGAAGGAAAGAAGACCATGGAAGGCTTCCTGGAGGAGGGTAACATATCAGTCTGCTCTCAGCACATGGATGGAGATTTCAAGGTAAAAGAAGAAGGATAGGTAAACACTCATATGAGAGTCTAAACAAAGCTGCTGGTCCAGGAAACCCAGGAGTGGGTTGGACAGGTTGCCGGGCACTCTACAACCCCTGCAAGGCCTCTGAACTGGGGGACTCCTCCTTCAGCCAGTTACAGACGCACAGCACGTGGCACCCAGAGGTACCAAGTGAGATGAGCTTACTAAGACCAGTACAGACTCAGGGAAGAAACAACGAATCCCAAAAGTTGAGGACATGACATGCATGTATCCTTAAGACTTCTGCCAAAAAAGTTACGTTACAGTTTGCTCATCTGTGCTCTTCCCCTATCACCTCTGCAGCTTGTGAAGCGGGTCAGCTCCTGCTCCTGTAAAGACGTCTAGAGCAATGCTTGCCTCCAGATACTGTTTTTGTTGTTGTTTTAAGTCTCCTGGGCTTGCGAATTCACAAAACATTCAGATTACTCGTATGTCAGTTTGACATTCCCGTGAGGTGTGTGTGTGTTCATCAGCTGGTGCTCCAGTTCCCATAACTGGGCCGAGAGTTACAAGAAAAGCTCCCGGCAGGAGGAAAGGATGCCGAGGAAGGGGTGCCCTCACGACGCTGCTGGCGTAGTCAGCCTTCTGCAGCAGGGGAAATGGGGACAACTGCAACTGAACAATTTTAAAAAAAGAAAAAGAATGAAAGACTTCTGCTTTCTACTCCTGTTACTAAACATTTACCTGGCCCGTGAAATCTAAGCATCTCTTTTTCCTACTTGTAAAGATAGCTCTCTGTAGCCTTTTCTAGTTCCCCAAGGAGTCAGGTTTCTCCAGCCGCTTGGGCCGTGGCGCACTAACCCCAGCACAGATGGCAGCATGGACCTGGGCTGGAGGGGACAGCAGGTAGGGGGCCGGGGGGAAGACAGCGTGTGGCTTGCTCCTTGCCCCCAGAGCACGCTTAGGTGAACGTTTCCTGGGAAAGCTGACTGTGGCCAAGTTTATCCCAATGACACCCATGGTCCCAGAAAGGCCACAGCTGTGAGCTTGACCTTCCTCCCAGACGGAATCGCTGCAGAGGCAGCTCTCAAGTTCAGTGAGGGCTTTGGGTGACTTCAAGACAGACTCAGGAAGCCTGTCCTGAGGGGTCCCCAAGGGGTGAGATCAGCCCAAGGGCAGCACACTGGGTGAGTCCCCTTTTCATTCCGGTGTCACCACTGGGAGGAGAACATTCACCCCCTCTCTCCAGAACATTTTAGGGACTCAAGGCGGGCTGGTCCTAAACACGGCTGTAAAGCGGATGAGTTCAGCCTTCAGTGTCAGTTTTGCTCCCATTTCCCATCCGGAGGCTGCCCGCCCTTAGCTGCCTTCCTCTCTCCCCTCCCTCCAGCGATTCACTCCACTGCACGTGGAGTTCCAGAACCTTCTATATGTTTGTGCCCATCCTCTGGCAAAATTTACTTTTTGTGAAACGTGTTCCCAGAGCCAAAGTTCCCAAAGTAAATCTGATTAGCAAAGTCATGATCTGGGGATAAACATAATGACTTTCCGGTTTTCTTCCCACATAAAAACCGCATCTGACAACCGGGCCCTTCCTGGGGGTGGGGGCCCACGGTGGCGGGGAGGCCGGCTCAGCACTGTGAGCTGAGCTCCTTCAGGTGGGCCCTCTTCTGCTCGTCAGGGTTCCGCTGGGTCCAGTGTGTCTCAAGCCTGACGCTGCATAATTACTTAAGCCAGAACTTGGATGGCACATTGTTTCCCTTTGGGGGATATTTGGGAGCTTGCCGAGAAGGAATGGGAGACGACTGCCACATGCAAGGGGACAGGCACTGGATGGGTGGGTGACGCCTGCCTGTGAGACCAGGGCCCCAGCCTGCAGACTGTCAGGCACACGGCATGCTGAGCGACCTAGCTGGAGACCGCATCAGACACCAACCTGTCCCTCTGGCCTGAGGAGTGTCACCTGCAGCCTTCTCCCAGAAGTGGGGTCCTCAGAACAGCATCATGGGCATCACACAGGAGCTTGTAGGAACTGCAGAATCTGACCCCTCCCTTACATCCCCCAACCCACCCCACCCAGTCAGACTCTGCATTTCCACAAGATTCCCAGGGCATTCATATGCACATCGAAGCTTTACACCCACGGGTCTGGTGGGTCTCCCTGGCAGCTGTTACTCCTGAAGTTTCTCAGTGCCACAGCAAAGCTCTGTGGCCATCAGAGACTGTGCATCTGTTTCCGAGACACATCAGCAGGCTCGGGGCCAGGCCCCGCGTGGAAGGGGAACATTCCCTTCACTGCAGCCCTGTATGGGGAGATTTAAGGACAGGGCTATTGTGGGCCAACCCAGCCCGTGTTTCCCTCTTCCCACTGTGTTGCATTTGTCCCCAGGCGATCTACAAGATGGTGTCCTCTGTAATGAAAATGCCCGAAGATGAGTCAACCCCAGAGAAAAGGACAGAAAAGATCTTCCGCCAGATGGACACCAACAGAGATGGTAGGTAGCCGAGGCTGCTTTGCTTTGCCCCAAGTGGGGGCTGCTCGAGGGGCTAAGGGTGTCCAAGCAGGGAAACGCCACTTGGGGACAAGATATTGGCCACAAGGACCTGGCTCACAGCCTTTTCTTTGTAACAGCAGCTCATCCTGCCTGTTCCTCGGCGGAGCAGGACAGAGAAGGATCGGGTGGGGATAGGCCCAGGCCAGAGCAGGCTGGGTCCCTGCAGGCGAGCTAATGAGGAAGTGGGAGGGACTGGGTGTCATTCTACCCAGACCCCGGTGGCTTCCCCCCAGGTGGCCAGGGCGTTAGCAGGCTCTCCTGCACACTCTCTGTGTTTGGCTTCCTGGAGCCAAGTGGGCCCCCACGGCCTTGGGTGGGTGGGCGTGGGAGGGGAGGGAGGGGGCCCTCACAATGCAAATGCAACCAGGTGACGCAAAGCAAAGTGCAAAGGAAGGTTGGGCTTCGAACTTCAGAGCAGAAGGTTTTAGGCGTTGGGTTGCAGGGCAGAATACAGGAGGCCCCACCAGCTTTGAGTTTTGGATGAACAACAAGTGAGTTTTTTCATACAAGTATGCCCTATGCAGCATAGTGAACATATGTATATGAAAAAAAGTGTCGTTTATTTCAGATTCAAAGTTAACTGGGCACGCTGTATTTTATTTGCTGGAACTCACGACCCTATCTGGACGTCACACCTGGGTTTGTCATGCTAGGCCCAGAGCCCCGGGCTGTAATGAGCCCTGAGTCACTCACAGCTCTTGCTGTATTACCAGCTCACCTGCCCTGCTGGGCGTCCCCCGCAGTTCTGGTCCATGATGAGCTGATGGACATACTGACAGGAGGCTGTGAACTAGAGCCAGCCTCTCTCACCCCACATCCTTCAGGGTCCCCTGCTGCCTGAGGATTTGTGGGTGCTGGCCAAGCACAGCCCACTTGCCGTGTTTCCTCCACAGAGGTGCCCTTACCAACCAGGACATCTTATCCTCCCTTAGGCACCTGACTCACAGCAACTAGCCTGATTGTTTTGCAAAGACTAGACAAGTACGGGGTTATGTTAATAGTTAATGAACTTGCTGATGTCTAACCACACGTTTTGCTCTGCTCCAAGGAGCACAGGTGGCTGTGTGTGCTGCCCCGGGCCCAGCCGCCTCTTTAGAATAGGGCCCTGGGAGGGAGAAGATCCAGACAACGGGATAAACCCCAAGGCCGAGTCCAACCCCTGCCCGGAGCAGGACTCATCCAGAGTCTGCCGCCATTAGATTCTTCTTGGTGGAAGCTCTTCGCTTCTAACCTCTGGCTGCTGACCTGTTGAGAAAAGTCTGGGCCTGCAGTTCACCCGGCGACACCTTAGAAGCACAGGGTAGTTAGCCAGAGAGAGCTGGTTGTGCACCTGGAACTCGGGGTTGGTTCTACCACTTTGACCTGTGGGCCCAGAGTCACCCTTTGGGGGACCCCAAAGTGGTCAAGGGACCACTCCCATCTCTTTTCCCTCACGCCAGCCTTCACACCTGAGGAAGCTGTCACCGTTTCGACCAGTGCCTGAGCCCGGGCACAGCTCGTAAAACATGGCCAGGACACAGGCTTAGAGGGGGCCTGCTCTGCACATTGAGAATCAACAGATACATTAACTCCTGCCCTTTCCCTTCGTGTGGATAAGGTGGATTTGGCTGACCAAGAACTAGGACCCGGGGGAGGGGGCTGTGGCTGAGGGGAAGACAGATTTTACTGGGGTGGAGGGTAAAAGCTCCAATAGACGGCACCCCCTCCTGCCTGGGGCTGGAATCAGTTGAGAAATAAAGGGCAATAGTAGAGGCCAGCGGACCGAGCTTCATCCAAGGATGCAGCTCAGTGGGCGTGGGGGCCAAACCCGCAGCAGCAGGGAGCAGGCAGCCTGACGCCAACCCCGGGGGTGGGGCAGAGAAAGAAGCGGGCAGTGCTGAGCAGGAAGGCACGGCAGGGAGGGGCCCTCTGCAAGCACCAGGAACGGGGGAGAAGCTTCGCCTCCTTCCAACACCCTGACAGAGGGACCTTCTGGAAGGGACACACATAAGAGTGAGATCCCAGGGGGCAGAACCAGCCTGTCAGGGTAGGAGAAAAGCACCCTGATTGACAGGCGGGACCGGGGGGCACCCCTCTGCCTTGCCCACACACCCATTTATTTTCCTTACTGCATGTGCTGTCCAAAAAGGGCCCTCCCTCAGCTATCACGGTGGCTCCTTGCAGAGGCCCACGTGACCTGCAGGAGGCTCCCAGTGACATGGTGGGAATGACCCCGGTGCCCAGAGAGCCCAGCTCGGTCTCATGAAGGCCCGGGGCCATTCCTTCCACAAACACTCAGTGAGCCCCCCAGAGTGGAAAAGTCCGGAGGGCAGGGGTCACATCAGGGCCACCCAGCACCCCCGCCAGGGCAGGCACGCAGCGGGCTCTCCGGAAGAAACGTGCGCAGGTCTCGCATCCGGAAGACAGAGTGTGGGCTTCATGGCAGGTGTGGGACGGCAGGGACAGCGGGAGCCGCCACTGCCTCCGAGATGTGGTGGGAAGAGCGCGGGTTCGCCAGCTGCCACCTGCCGCCATTCACCCGCGCTCCATCCTCTCGCTGTCTAGGAAAACTCTCCCTGGAGGAGTTCATCCGAGGGGCCAAGAGCGACCCGTCCATCGTGCGCCTCCTGCAGTGCGACCCCAGCAGCGCCGGCCAGTTCTGAGCCTGCCCCCCACGAATCGCACAGCTGCTTGTGTTCCCTTTTGATTTTTCTTTTTTAACCTTTTTTTTTTTTTTTGGCCAAATATCGACGGTGATGCTGTTCCCTGTGCAGTCAGATGCACCTTCCTCGTGACGCCTTCAGCTTCTTTTGTGGTGGACGCTTCCTGGGCATGCCCAGAACCCCAACGCTTGTGGAGAGCATGTGCGTCCTGCACAGACTTTGTGGTGTTCGTTGTTCTGACGATTTTCAATCGTTATTATTATTTTTCTCTTGATTCTAATGTCTCTGTTCTAACACCGAAGACTCGGAGCGGCAGAAGGAGGGGAACCAATCTGGTGCCAGGACGGGCCGGCAGGCTTTGAGGGGCTTGTTGGAAAAACAAACCTCCCCCCTGGGTCTGTCCTCACACATGCCTGAGGGGCAATGACGCCGGATATGGGATTCCCAAAGTAAGAATAGAGAACCTCCTGGGGCCAGGCTATTACAGGGACCTGAGGAATTCCCCCCTCGCAGGCCTGCCCTATCCCGGCCCCAGCAGGCTGTAGTTTTTAAGCTGTGAACATTTCAAGGTAAATTAATAGCAACGAGGAAAAGATGGCTCAGCTCTTTCTTCACAGGTTTACACTAGTTGAGCTAAGATGAGTTTGCTTGGAAATTAATCACAAATGGTAACATATTCCAAGGCCAGGTCCATCTTGTTGCCTCTTGTGATTTAAAAAAAAAAAAAGGAAAGAAAAGAATGTTGTATATAAAATATTGGGTATTGCAGACCAAATTAAGTGTTTTGCCTTGTTTAAATAAAATGCATGTTTAGTGAGCACTAATCCAAACTTATTACAGAAGACTGTTTCCAGTAGCTTATTGTGAAGTAAGCCAACTATAATGAATGTCTGTGTCTTGTTTTACAGTCATATCTGTCTTTGCACAAATGCACCAATCAACAGGTATATTTTATATATTCCAGAAAAGTACTAAGTAACCATGGCTAGGGCCCAAACTGAATTGTGAATGCTTTTCCAGAGTAGCGGTGCCTGGAGAACAGAAGCAGGGCAGGTTGGAGTGGGCTCAGTGACTGGAGCGCCAGAGGGTCAGCCCTAGGAGAGAGGGGAGGCGACGGCTTGACCGCCAGCCCCGCAGCCCATTGGCAGCATTACATTGGAGGTGCTCAGTATTCTGTAGACCCGGAAACGGACCGCCCGGCCGGGACTACCCGGTGGCTGAATCCACGTGAATGGTTAGGGAGCCGCAGCGGGAAGGACGACTTTCCATGCCCCTGGCTGGCCCTGCAGGGAGTGGGAGGTTGGACCGTCATCTGATCCACCGTGAAGAAGCCAGGGGCAAGTGTATCTGTGATTTCCAAGACCCACTGTGGGAAATGCAAAGGTCTTTCCCATCACCGTGTTCTTTGAATGCAGATTTTTATTTCCAGAAGCGACAGCACAAACTTGAGTTGCTGTTCAGTCAGGGGACCTCATACCCACTGATTGGAATGGAAAATGAAGAGTAAAGATGCAGGTCGCAAGGGAGTGACATTTCGGTAGGCGGTAGGCGGGAGGCAGGAGGAAACCCGAACACTCAGCTGCCCGAGAGAAGGCAGAGAGGTCCCCGGGGGGCCTGTCTGCTGTCATGGAGAGAGACATCACGAGCACGAGAAAGATAACGCTGAGCTGGTTCCAACCTCCAGATCCTCGGGTATTACTTGAATCCATTTTAACAGGTAGCAAAAATCCAAATGTGTGTGGTTAACCAAAATGAACCAATTGTGCAGGATGAAATTTTGAGACCTGAACTCAGTAAAATAATTTTAATTCTCCACTGAGTGTCACTTTCTCACAGTGTTTTATCCTGAGACTGGCCAAGTTCCTCTGTGGCCCGAGCGGTAAAATCTAGTTTTGAAAAACAGTGAATTAACCTAAGACCTGGAGTACAGAGGGGGCGAGGCGACCCAGTGCCTCTCTCCCTAGCGCTCAGGAGTCACACCTACCTGTCCCCTGATCTCAATTAAAGGTCCAGTTCCTCCTTTAATTCTCCTTAGATGCTGAAGCGAGTGACTGTGTGGGAAACCCACCTGGGCTCTAACCTGGGTCCTGATAGCTTGTTGAGCCTGGCGTGTCCCCTGGGGCCTCGGGCTGCAGTGAGTGTCAGGGAAGAGGGGCTCCAGCTGTTTAGGGAAGAAAACGAGAGCCAGACGCGCGGCTAATGAACGCCAACATGCCCGGGATGTACGGAAATAGCCCTCATCCTGGCCTGCCATTGACCCTGTCTGTGTTTTCTCGAGGGTTGTTTTTCTTCTCCTCCTTCTTCCCGGGAAGGCCTTTGTATGTCTAATCCAAGGCACTCGTTTCTGGCCGAGGGACTCTGCGGCACCCAGAAGGCTGGATGCCTGAAGGTTTATGTCACTCCTGTGCCGGGCTGTTCATTGTCACTGCTGTGTTGAGGGACCTCTGGAAATGGATTCTGCTCTGTCTGAGATCAAGCCAGGCTGTGATGTTCAAGGGACTGGAATAAAGTGGCTTATAAATTGAAGAATGATACAGAGTTCTTGACTGTTCATACCCTTGTTTAGGGGGGAAGGGGTGCCCAAGGTGCTGTCCCACCCGTCTTGTGCCCCAGGAGCGCCTGCCACAAGTGCACGTAATAATATACAAACTCATCCATCCCATCACTCCCATCAGTGGAGCGGGCCCTATATCGGTTGACTTTGCCGCTCTAGCTCGGCAATCAAACAATTGTCTGGGCCATGCGGTTTCCAGGCCTACACTGCTGCTCCGGCTGCACCTGTGCCTACGTGAGGGTCCAGGTGCTGGTTCCGGTCTCCTCCTGGGCATGCGTTCTGCTCTGGAGAGACACAAGGAACCAGGGTTTGTGAAAGAGGGCCTGGGGGAGGCTGCCGAGCCCCAAGCCCCATCCCAAAGCATCCCTGGTCTGCACCTGGGCTTCCTGATGTCCTTCCCCTTGTGGGCTTCGCTCCCTTTCCATCTCCTCTCCTTCCTCACAACCGCAGCTACAAACTCGGCCTCTCACATGAGGCACAGTGGAGTGAGAAACGGAGGCGACCTTCTCAGTGGGAAATCAATATCCTCCTCCCCTTTCCCTGTGCCCCTCAGTGTGAAGAAGAGCCAGTAGAAAAGATGACACGGAGTCCATGCCTTCAAAGCCAATTCAGATCGGCTGTGTGTTTGTTTTTTGTTGCGGCCGTGGGCCCCGCCTCCAGCACAGCAGGCCATTCCGTGGGAGACAGACGGCCGAGTGTCAGCTATGGTGGGAGCCCCATGGGCCAGCGGGACCTCACGTAGGAGATGAGTTGGCCAGGGGCAGAGTCTTTTTCTACTTGACACAGTTTCTCTTGAGGCCCAGCAACGGCCTCGATGCCCACGAGCACTGAGCGTGGATAACCACGTGTCACCGTGGCAGTGATGGTGACAAGGTGGCTGGGAGCCTCCACCCCGATGGGGAGTCTGCAGCCCCACACTCCCTGGAGGCAAGCCTGGCCATTGCCAGCAAATTCGCAAGCCCAGGGCTCTTATTTTCAGGGTATTGTTCCAGCACCTCAACCCAGCTGGCTCCCCTCACAGCCTAGTCCAGGCACATAGGGCACACATCAGCCGGGGAGAAATCGGGGTGTCCTCTCAGCCATGTAAAGGAGAACTGTTCACAGGAACGGTCTTTGGAAGAAATAAAGATGCTTCACGTTTGCCTCTCCTGTCTTCATCAGGAGATGCTTAGCACTCTCCTGGAATTTTCTGGTTTTTAATGTGACTTGAAGAAATAAGAGAAAGAACATTGAACCCTGTATTTTCCAAGCAGTAGAGTATCAGTGAAATCCACCTAAAATAGAAAGACTGTTGCAGAGTGGACGGTGTTTGGGCCAAGGGTATAACCGGTGGTATATTCATTTCAAACAGGTTTCTCAATACGTGAATGCCAACCATGTGTCCGGACTTAAGAGGTCCCGGGCACTTGCCACACTGGGTACTAATGTGCCCGGGCCTGGTCCCAGACACACCTGAGGTTGCAAACAGTGATACTCCAAGAACATTCCACAGTGTGGCGTTAACTCCCCAGGGCAGTTCAGAGAAGGGTCAGGGTCTCGAGGAAGCTTATATCACGACTGCTTTTCTCTACACTATTCCGGGGAATGGATAACAGTTTAAAATAGTTTTCTAGAAGAGATGGCGAAACTGCTTCAAAATTCTGGACAGCTCAGCTTGCCGACCCCATTAAATACTCATAAAATCTGCCATCAATGTATCACACACATGTAGACAGAGGGCAGACCCTGTCTCAAAACATCCCTTCCCAATATCAACGTTTAATCACTCTGCTGGGCTCCCATTGAGTGTTCAGTGCTGGCCCAACACAGTACCAAGCACTACAGTCCTGGAGGGATGTGTGTGTGTGTGTGTGTGTGTGTGTGTGTGTGTGTGTGTGTGTTGGGGGTGAAGGCTCGGATAGGAGTACTAGCAAAGAAGGAGGTCAGGCTCACAGCTCAGCTGGTAAGTCTGTCCAGCACCTTAACAATGACTGTGAAGAAGCTTACACCTCTGTCCGATGGCTGGTTCCTTCTTGACTGGTACATGAGAGAGGTGTTTGCTACCCAGGGAATGAGCAGGTGGCATTTGCCTTCAGTGGCCTTCTAACATTCCCTTCCTCTCTTTTCTACTTTTGAATGATTAGAGCCCTGCCCCCACTGTTTCCAAAACACCCATGCACCCATTTAGCTCAGAGAAGTGTAGGGGTGGAGGACCCTGCAGACAGAGGGTGTGTTATACTAAAGTGGGAGGCCAGGAACCCCACTCAGGGAATGTTTACATGTAAAAGTAGAGCCCCTGCCTGACCAATGTGGCTCAGTGGGTTGGGCATCATCCTGCAAACTGAGTGGTTACTGGTTTGATTCCCAGTCAGGGCACGTGCCTGGGTTGCAGGCCAGGTCCCCACTAGGGGGCGCATGAGAAGCAAACGATGGATCTTTCTCTCGCACATCGATGTTTCCCTTCTTTCCCTTCTTTCTAAATATAAAAAGAAAAGAAAATAGAAAAGTAGAGCCCCAGTGAATCCCTGTTAGAGACCATTTTATTTTTAGAAAAGATTTTATTTATTTTTAGAGAGAAGGGAAGGGAGGGGGAGAGGAAGAAAAACATTGACGTGAGTGAGAAACATCTATCAGTTGCTTCTTGGGCGTGCCCCAGCTGGGGACCGAACCTGCAACCCAGGCATGTGCTCTTGCTGGGAACAGAAACAGCAACCTGTTGCTTTGCAGGACGATACCTAAGCCACTGAGCCACGCCGGTCAGGGCCGCTCAGAAACCATTTCAGAAGGAGTTAGCTATGGTGGCCACAGAGGCGCCTGTTCGGATCTTCTATTACAGGAACCTGGCTCTGGAAGCACAGCTGACTGACGGCTCCAGCTGCAACATTTGGAGCCACCTGTGTTCACTCGGAGGCCACACTCTTCCCCGGCTGCTCCCTGTCAGTGCACAAGTTGGGGTGTATGAGGATCCCAGATGGGATTCTTCCCACCAGTGACCTTTGCTCAGGGACTCTCCACCGGCCTGGCTGAGACAGTCTGAGTCTCCTCCTGCCCAAGCTTCCTTCCTTCCCTTTCTCCTTTTTCAGGGGGCCAGTCTGCATGCTCTGCCCATCTCCTCCTGCTTGTTTCCCCTTCGCATAAATTCCCCCAATAAATCTCCTGAATATCTAATCCCATCTTGGCGTCTGCTTCTTGGAGGACCCGAACTGATGACCATCCCTTCCCCATTGCTGTTGACCCTCAGAAACGTAAGGCCCAGACATGGAAGCTGGCAGCCTTCCCTAAGTGAGGTCCTTGTGG